CGTGGTTTTCTCTGAGTAATGAGGCTATTACTATTGTCTTACCTATATGAATAATGCTCCTCGCAAATGCACTTAGCAAACGAAAGGTAATGTCTTCCGATTAGTGATTTGCATAGGCGGTAGACACTGCTCCAGCAAAAGCATTATGTGTTAATGATCGAACACGCAGCCCACGAATAAAGCTATGGCAAATTGAACACTGCAACTTCTCTAATCGCAGCGGCGGCAGGCTTGCCAGCAAGAAGGGAATGTTCCACGTTTGAAGATATTGAGACAAGCATCAGATATGATGAAAAACTCACTTGTTTCGATTAGTATGTTTTTGAGCACTCCCTGTAAACGGTGTGTTCCACATTTGTATCGGGTTTTGAACTGAAGCAGCATTTGAAAAATTATTCGGTGCAGTTCACGGCCCCGCCCTTCTTCAGCCATAAAACCCACTAGTTTCTGAGATACAAAGCCGCGAAGAGGAGCAAACTATTTCGTGCAAACTGTTTCATACCACTCCGGGATGCATGACGCCGTAGCAACTTCATTCTATTCCTGTCGTCCCATAGGCGATGCGGCGTTCAAGGCCAAAAAGAACATATCGTCGAGCCATTTAGATCTGGCGTCCGTGAGCACGATTTCCAAATACAGTGAGCGTCAGTTGGCTCTCAATCGATGTTGAGCGAGCTCTGCAAGTTTCAATCACGATTTGGTTACCTGGATGGTTGGATTAGAACCCTTTCGACCACTAATGATCATTTCAGGGCTTTGGAATGAATGCCAATGGATAACGGATCGGGCAGGATTATATGCGCCTAATTGACCAACTGTCGGGCCTTGGCACCCGGACGGAGCCCCCCTTCAGGGGGCCTCTTGGCCCACTCGTAGCTGGCGCACGCAGCCTGCTCCGGACAAGCGGGGCGTCGCGAGGATGCAGAATGAAGAAAGAAAGAGGATAAAAGGGTCAGGATTCAATCATAAACCACGTTTTGTGCGCTATGACATAAAAATGGGCATGATACCTGGTTATTACGGAAATTACGTATCAAATAAGTTAAAACTATCTACATAACCGAGTATGTGATAAGCTAACTTCTGAAGCTCACGGATAACTATTCAAGAACAAGGCGAAAAGGGTCAAAATACTAGCACATACCGATATTTGGCTCAACGAGCACTTAAGGCACCGCCACCACCATTTATCGGTGAGACGAAGTACTACATATGTGCTTGGATGGCATTTCCGCGATCAATAGTTTTGCTAGTTTCGTAGCACGTCGACGTCACACAAAACGTTCCATGGCGCAGTCAAACAATGGTGTGTTGAGAGTGAGTTTGCTAAAAAGAGAATTTGTGTTATCTAGAGCAGTCTCTTCCATTGAAAAGCGTACCAATCGTTATTAAAGAGCCTGTTTTGTCATATCTGATGCTGCCTCAGTAACTCAAATGTGAAACAACTCCTTGAATTGAGAAAGTAGCCGTGTTTACATAGGAAAATGTGCGATTGCCAGATAGAAACAAGAAAGTTCCAAAACTAGAAATTACCAAGATGCCGAAAAGGAGTTGCTCTCAAGCCATCACACCGGAAAACTCAGATGATATGCGGTGATCTTGGCTCAAGATCACACACTTCAGCCCGCTGAAATAGCTGTAGAAGTTCGGAAAGATGTTTGTTGACCAATGAAGGGTTCATTGAACCTTTTCGTTCTTAAATCTGGCCGCATGGCTGTCTTCGTCAGGACGGCCCAGCTGACATACATCAGCTGACTGCCGCATGTGCCCTGGTTTTACCAGGCTATTGCCGATTTCAAGGTCTCGAACCGGCTAAACTTCAGCATTTCCGTGCGCCGTTTTTTACCGCCGCTGTGTCAGTTTGGCAATAGACGTCCCGTTTTGGGTCTTCTCATACGTTACTTACCACTGGACGGTTCGCAGAAACGGAAACAAGTTGGTTTCCATGGTTCAAGTGAGTGTTCTCGAGTTATTCCACACGTGACCAAAGTCGAGAGCCGCTTGGAGTCCAATATGCGCATAAGCCGTCCACTGACGCGGTGGATGATGATGGGCGCCAAACCGGTCTTGGCGCCAAACGACGTAATACTGAACCAGACGCATGTGGGTGCCAAATGCAATTCAAACCAAATTTGGCTTATTTTAAATCGGGGTAGTCACGGCGTGACTGACATCACGCAGTCCACGGCACCCGTGCTCCCCGCTCCGCGCCCACCCAGCCAGATGTCTCCCTGGTCGACAGTCGACACCCGGCCAACTCCAACTCTGGCCGTCGTGTCTGTCGTCAGTCGGCGCTGCGACCGCAGGCTTCACGGCGAGGGCCACCGCAGGTCGCCGCGCCTGTCGTCAGTCGGCGCTGTGACCGCAGGCTTCACGGCGAGGACCACCGCAGGTTGTCGCGTCCGACGTCGGTCGGCGCTGCGACCGCAGGCTTCACAATACCGTTGGCTGAGACGGCTGGCTGGATGGGCGCGGGGCGGGGCGCTCGGGTGGCGCTGGCCGCGTGATGCCCTGGGCGCGGAGCGGGGCGCTCGGGTGGCGCTGGCCGCGTGATGCCCTGGGCGCGGAGCGGGGGCGCTCGGGGTGGCGCTGGCCGCGTGATGCCCTGGGCGCGGAGCGGGGCGCTCGGGTGGCGCTGGCCGCGTGATGCCCTGGGCGCGGAGCGGGGCGCTCGGGTGGCGCTGGCCGCGTGATGCCCTGGGCGCGGAGCGGGGCGCTCGGGTGGCGCTGGCCGCGTGATGCCCTGGGCGCGGAGCGGGGCGCTCGGGTGGCGCTGGCCGCGTGATGCCCTGGGCGCGGAGCGGGGCGCTCGGGCGGCGCTGGCCGCGTGGTGCCCGTCCCGCCGTGACTCGCCTGTCGGTTCTGCGCCATCACGTTCGTCACGGGAGTGGGCGAGCCGCCGTCTCGCTGTGGGCAGCGCTGAGAGCCGGCCTTTTGATGCAGGACCATTGTCATCCATCGCTGATATGGCAGTCCTGGCGCGCACCGTGGTATGGAAGCAACCCATGCGTAATACCTGCGGCCTTGACCTTGCCCTCAGCGCCACAGCGCCACCCGCAACGAACCACTTAATTCCCGCAGAAGCGTACAGTTCGACCAAGTCCCTACACTTTTACATGTGCGTATATGCGTCGTTCCTCTGTGTATTGTGTCACTCTTGGACAGCTAGGCGCGAAAGGATCATAACGTGGATGCGCATTCAACAAAATAACAAATGAAATGAGTCGAACTTCAAGTTGAAGCTCTGTAACCCGATCATGATGGCACCGTGCTGTTCTAGGAGCTGTAATTCCGACCTCAATGGTGCGTGAGTGTTTCAGCGGCGAACGACCAGACTCTAACGGCGCCGCAGAGACTGGACAGCCCCATCTCCGATCAAAAGAATGACTTTGTGCCCCTAGGTCTTTGGGGGATCCGATTCAGGGCACTGCGTTGGGACTGAATGAAAGTTAATTAAGTTATTGTTTTGACGTCATTTTTTAGAATACTTATAAAAGTGGCCAGGCTGGTGATTGGCATAAACAGCATATTCATAACTTAAATGTATGAGTTCGAAAAAGGCAACCGATACATTTTGCTTTTAAGTTTTTCAGGGCTAAACAGCGAACACAAGGACAGGAATGCTTGGAAAAAATAACTTTCAATGCATTGGTTTGCTCTGTTTCCGCACGCTTGGACATGTTCACACAGTGCTTTTCCATGACCACAGAAAATGCGAGCTGATGGTGTGCCTGAGCAAGCGCCAATGAGGGCTTTTGATTTGTCTATTCTTTGCTCTGTAGATGTGATGTTTCAATGGTGCCCTATGGAAATGTTCAAGTTTGGAAAACCACAAGCCAATCTGTGCATTCGCCACACGAACAATGCGTGAAAACAGAGGTTATCTTTGGGTTGTTATTTGATTCTTGCGGGACCTAGGAAGAGCAAGTATTGACTCTTCTTCGGTCGTATTCTGACATGAACATACGCCTTCATATATATATTTACGTCATACCACGTAAGTTCAAAGTGGCTCGCAATCAAGACCAACCGAGCCATGTGAGATGTCATAGAAAAACTGTTCTGTTGAATGATATGCCACCGACACCGCATCACGACATATAACCATGTAGACGGTAACCAAGCTTTTTGTGCTCTTTTCTCTTCTTTCTGGCTGATCAGCTAGCAGTCACGTTTTGACATCAATAACGCCATCCAAATACAGCCTAGGTTGTTCCTTCAACGCCTAGCTCACAGATTTGCCATGCCTTTGGAGCTGAGCCTGAACCCCACACTGTCAGGCTTGAGCTCCAAACCGAGCCTCGTGAACAGAGATGATCGAGGGGTTAGGTCCCGGGACTGCCATACGAGGTCTCCGGCGTCAAATTCTGGCTGCGCCATGCCCCAACGTGGCGTATGCCCTCCGTGGTCGTCAAATTCTGGCTGCGCCATGCCCCAACGTGGCGTATGCCCTCCGTGGTCGTCGATATTTTATAAATAGCTGCATGAAATAGTACAACACGTTTCCACCATCAAAAGCAATTATGCCTTGAGCTCGTTAGTTTTTTTTATTGGGGAGTGATATCGGTCCCGATTCAAGCACGACATTAATCGGTTTACGTGAACCCAAGTCCCATAAAGTCATCAGTCCAAACTCGATTCCAGCCCCGGTAGGTCCCAAACTCGCGTCTGGCACCCAAGCCAGCCCCGCGCCGTCACACAGCGGTGCACACACAGGCGGGACACCGTGGCAGGGACAACCGCGCACCGTCGCACAGAGGTGCACACACACACACACACACACACACACACACACACACACACACACACACACACACACACACACACACACACACACACACACACACACACACACACACACACACACACACACACACACACGCACGCACACACGCACGCACGCACGCACGCACGCACGCACGCACGCACGCACGCACGCACGCACGCACGCACGCACGCACGCACGCACGCACGCACACACACACACACACACACACACACACACACACACACACACACACACACACACACACACACACACAGGTGGGACAGCATGACAGGGACAGTCCCGCGGCGTCTCACAGAGGTGCACATGCACACACGCAGGCGGGACACCATGACAGGGACAGCCGCGCGGTGCGCAGTCAGTGACCGGCCCTTCAGTCACGGCGGAAAGACGCTTCTCCGCACGACCAGGCACGAAAAAACAGCATTGTTCGCGACAGACGAGATGAGGCGCCGGCGGCGTTAATGTCGCTTCTGGTGAGAGTCATCTATCGGCCAGAGCAGGAACTTGAGAGAGCCGATCCCGAACAGCAGGGTTTGGAGCAGCCAGGCGGCGGTGGTCGCGCCCCGGATGCCCAGCCGACGGCAACGGTGCAGGGCCACCATGCACTCCAGCGCGTGGATCACGGGGGTGGCAATCAGCCTGGGGAGCGGTCGTCGGTCAGACAGAGAACGCATGCAGGGAAACACCCTCCGCTGAACACCGGCGCAGGAGAGTAAACCTCCCGCCACCAGGGAGCAGCCGCGCCAGCTTCATACGCAGCGCCAGCCCCTTGTGTGTTGGGTCTTGGGTGTAGCCATCATTCAGAGGTTTGGTAGACAAGTCAAAACCTGGAGGCGACGATCTCAACAACATGGTGTCTTTTGAAAGGGAAGTCGCCGTTGCAAAATAGATGTCTATCTTGCGACGATTGTGGATGGAAGCAAAAGCCCGTTTCGACACAAATAAGGGCGCCGTGTTATGCAGACCTCCCTCCCCTCGGCAGAAGCTACACCCGTGTCCTAGGAAGATGAGCAATGGTCGAAAGACTTTCTTGTAATGCTTTCTTGTAACGCTTTCTTGTGTTTTTAATAATTTATTGTAATGCTTTCGAGTGTTCGCAAACAAGCACGCGGTATCAGCCAGCGAGTGCATCAACAGGCAGCACTCTTCTCTATTTATTATAAGGACAATGTGGGCTGAACTTCCCGATGTCGGACCAGCTCTGGCGGCGTCCAGCCTCACTGTGCTCCTCACCCTTGTCTGGCGTTGTTGCTGAAGTGACCGTGAGCAGCGTGGAGCAGGCGTGCCACCGGTCCGAGGTAAGCCTCCGGCGCCAGGGTCGGCCCCAGCCACACCGCCTGAAAACGAAGCGCCCAGTCCAGCCAGGGCACGCGGCCGCTGCTGCGTCTCTGGCACCGGCTGCCGCGTCATATGACGTCATGCTGCATTAACTCGCCACGACACCCATTACACGGCACTCGGATATAACCAAGCCTGGATCAGCCCACCGCGACACCCATCACACGGCACTCGGATATAACCACGCCTGGATCATCCCATCGCAACACCCATCACACGGCACTCAGACATAACCACGTCCTGGATCAGCTAACTGCGACGCCCATTACACGGCACTCGGTCATAACAACGACTGGATCAGTTCACTGCGACACCCATTACACGGCACTCGGTCATAACCACGCCTGGATCAGTTCACTGCGACACCCACCACACGGCACTCAGACATAACCACGCCTGGATCAGCTAACTGCGACACCCATTACACGGCACTCGGACATAATCACGCCTGGATCAGTTCACTGCGACACCCACCACACGGCACTCGGATATAACCACGCCTGGATCAGTTCACTGCGACACCCATCACATGGCACTCGGATATAACCAAGCCTGGATCAGCCCACCACGACACCCATCACACGGCACTCGGATATAACCAGCCACGAACTGTTCGCATAAACGACGTTCTCTCCAGGCGGTCCATTCCGTATCAAATTCGATGCATTGGAACTGCGAAATGCTACAAAAGTGTGTGCACACACATTGGGCGCCGTTCACTAATCACGCTACGCATGGGGGTGCAGGTAGCTTTGATGGAGAGGAAAGGAAGTGTAACAAGGTGAAGGGTCTGTTTGGATAGCAACGTTACATGTTGCGATCACTAAATGGCGTTACGTTGCACTAAGTGGTGTCACTCCCTAAAATCAGATGGGGGCGGACTGACCCGATAAAGTTGATCAAAGCAACCCCAAATTCGGATCTCTCCCTGGAGGCCGCCATAGGTGGAGGAGGGCGCCATGCCTGACCTCATACCCCACCCCTGAGGGCTGACGATCCGCTCAAACACGACTAACGGCCACGAGCTGGTCAGTACGCCACGTGAAGGCCAGCCTTACGCATCTGAGCTCCTTGAGCAGCTGGCAACATAAGCCGACCTTTACCGACCTGTCTGCGCTGATTTCGTCCTTCGATGCGTATCAGGTGAGTCTAGCAGGCGGGTTAGCCGTATCTTGGTATCGCCTCTTCCAATACGGTCCAGATTAGAAGAGGCCATGCCAAGATACGACTGGCCAAACACAGCCCAGATTAGCAGAGGCGATGCCAAGATACGGCTGGCCTGCGCCGCCACAGGGTGTAAGACACAGGTCTATGTTGATATTACAGGCGTCCTAAAGATTTAGTCATCGAATGATATATTAGACTGACGCCCTCCCTTACGCGCTTCCAATGCATGTTGAGTTATAGCTCAATTCGCAGTTTAACACACGCTGGAAGCCAAACTTTGCCGGTCCCTGGTCATAAGCATTTTTACTGCAGCCCCTTGTTCATCATCGTCATCAATGTTTGATTGTGCAATGCCTTTTAGACGCATGATAGGTCATCACTCATAATTACCCACAAGTCAAGTAAAGCTCATAATTGCAGCCAAGACCTAGTGGCATGACACACCTCATCCATCAATGCGTTATTCTTCATGTTTTCCTAAGTTGTTGTGTGCCTCTGCATTTGAACCGCGGTATGAAATTTTCTGCGTGAATTTGATTGCATACCATTTTGTGTCTATGTCAGCACATCCCACTCTATATCTCGTCAAGTGTTATTTCTGCATGTCGTACAGCTGGTGCCTCTTTGACGCGACAAATGTGTGCAGCCCATGGTGCTCGTCCCTCTACCCCACCCACACCTCTAGGCGCATGTTTGTTCGAAGTCAGCAGGCACGCACCAGCGTTTCCCTCTCTCGTGATGTAGCACGCTAAATGGCGACAATATCATGCTCTGACATTTGTCGCGGTGTTACAAGCACTCCGCTGCTAGACGCCGTACGTCCACGCTATCGCATGCCCCGTTTCGAGGGCATTCGTAATCTGTACCGCGTACTGTGCTCTCTGCTTCCCTTGCCCTACATGCACGGTGTGTACCCACCTCCATCAACAAAACTTAGCAAAACTGAAACGATCTTTGCATGCTTAAAACTATTATTATAATGTCCATATCATACATGCCTGTATCATCGTTGCATTTCCCTCGGTCTTACTGCGAAGTCATCTCCACTGCAGTCTGCCCTACGCAGCTATGGCCATCGGTTGCCTAGGCCAATCAGCTGATCGTGCCATTTCATTCGCGCCAACCTCCCTACCGCCGAGCGCGTGCATTATGGCGCGTGGGTGAAGCTGTTCTGATTGGCCCGTCAGGGGAAGCTTTTCAAGCGTCGGAGCCGTTCGGCATCGGATCACGGACAGATCACTTGTCGCGTGGGAACCTGTATTTGACGGTGGGTTCAGCGTGTCAAGGAAGCAGCAAGCTGATATGGGAGGAAGCAAACACTGTTGCCGGCACTGGCTGCATTTATCGCCAAATAGGGATGGTCCTCTCACGAAATATCGTTGCCGATTGGAGCTCCCAATTTTGAGCTCGCAGTTCTACAAAGTGCGGGGTTTAAAAGCACACAGGGCGTTGAGTGGGCATTGCTGGCCACATTACAGACATTCTAAATGCGATATTCTCCTACTTGTGTTTTGTTAATTACAAATATATTCCCTATTGGCAAGCAATTGCTAGCAACAAATCCTGACGGGAAAATAAGTTATTTGTTTGCACAAAAATAATGAGCCAGGGCAACAATATTTCATTATCAAGTTTCCAGTTATGCAATGCATGCCATTTTATAAACAGATCACCCGTGGTATTCTGTTGCTTTGAGAGTAGGCTACCATAATTTAAGAACCTTCTAACCTTTATTTAGGTGCAACCACTAAACTATACATTTCGAGGGGATGATATCTCAACTAAAGGGCAAGAACCACCCTGAAATAATCCCACATCAGTGGGGTTCTCCCATGGGTGTTGTTTCCTTTTCAATTAAGGACTTGAGCTCCAGCCCCTAAGCAACAAAACAATTAAAACCATTTTCTCCTGGGCAGGCCACCCCAAGACCATTTTGCAAAACTACATTCCTGAGTTCTGCGTACCGTTTATCAAACGAATCATATGGTCGAAAAATATGTCTCACGCTCAAACACACAATGGTTTGAATGCAAATATGATGGACGCAACTACACAGGATATTTTCAAACAGCAAACACCCCCCCCCCCCCATGCCTGGACTGAAATAAAAGCATTGCACTCCAATTTTGCCCTAAAAGCATCGCAATTCCGAAACATGTCTATGAAATACATAGGAGCATACCAATCCTGTCTCCTGCAGCTCACCTTTTCTGAAAATTATGCAACTTTACACAAAAATATGTTATGGTGGGTGCATACGCTGATATCATATTTAGCCAGGAGAAATACCAAAGGAAAACACTAATTATCAAATAATACCAGCGATCCCAGCAGAAGCTTAAAAAAATGCATGCATCGAAGGACGAAATCAGCTCACGCAGGTCAGTAAAGGTCAGCCTATGTCGCCAGCTAATCAAAGAGCTCGGATGCATACCAATGGCCTTTACGTGGCGTGTGGAGCACCTCGTAGTCATTAGTCACGTTTGAATGAATGGTTAGATCTCCAGGGGCAAAGCATGAGGTCATTTATGACGCCCTAATCTTTCACCAAATAGGATGTTTACTTTCCGTGTCGTTCGTTTACTTGGTATTTGGCATGAAAATACCGAGATTGGTCAGCATTCTGTGTACACCCGTACTGGAGGTATTTGGAGTGTAAATCCAGCATTAGCAGAACATTTTTTGTTTTTGTTTTAATTACAAGCCTCGATACTGGACAATGAGAACCGTAATCAGCCATCACGCAGGTACCTACTGTTGTCTATGCAATTGGAAAGGTTGAATTGTGGTGCCTGTTGGTCACGGACAACGTTTTTTTTGTTGATACTTTTTCCATGACATACATTAGTGTCGACCTATCCATATTTCAATAACTTTGACATGCCATTCCTTACTTGTGTACTTGCAACATGGATGGTTCAAAATACCTTCCATCTTGGGCTTTCGATTGCCAATTTTGGTTACAAACGGCATACCTGCATATGCTACCGACTGAGAAGTCATTAAATGGGTCCCATGTAGGCGCAATTTCATTGTGGATTTTTGCATTCTGATGCTAGTTGTAGTTGTTTCATTCCTTTCTCTGGATTGCTGGCTCCTTTTAGGACCTTTCTGAAGGACCGAAGGCATTTCACACCTGGAGTGGGATATATTCCGTTTGTCTTAATTCGAAAAACTCATATCTCCGTCCGCTTTGCTCCTACGCCCCCCCCCCCCTCCCCACTCCCTGATAAGTTTATTGGCGTGCCCACACGAAGCACATGCCCTCCTCCCCTCCTCCCCTAGCAAACTGCACCGAAATATAGGTCTTTATAAGTAAACTACGCTGAGTATTTGTGTGATAAAAACAGAACAACGGCAGGTACCAATGAGAAAGGCGTGACTTTGCAGCCATGTGTTTATAATTAGCAATATAATGCGTGCAATATAATGGTTCTGTCTGTGGCATCGTCATCAACAAATAAAAAGGGATATTTTCAGGTCAGCAGTGTGCTATGGGGTCATAGACCTGCTTCATAATTTTCAGATATCATTTACGTGCATGACCTTCACGAAGTGCACGAAAATCGTGAAATATGCGTCTAAAGATTTTACCGTGATTTTCATGGGAAGGGGTAAGATCTCCCCAATACTCTTCTGAGCAGTCCCAAGGCACATAAACCAAACAGGGAATAATTTGCCGGTAGAAGTGTACAGAGGTCTCTCTCTGAACACTGTTTCGTAACTAGGTACAATCAAAGCACAAATAAAGTCCCTCACACTCCAGTGCGCCTTGCCTCTCACAGGTCACTCCCGGAACCGTACACTGCAACGCAGCACAAAGCTGCTGTGCACAGCAGACCTGATCCCGACGTATGCCTTAGGCAGCAGGCAGGTCAGGGGGGTGCAGCGATTGATGGCCGGCCCAGTCGTTCGACGGTGCGGTAGTAAAGGTCAAAACAGCCCTGTTCAGCGTATGCTCGCATGCTTTACATTTTGGTCAATAAGTCATAATTGGTCTGCATAGTTTTAATGGGCCACTGTGACGCTGCTTACATATTCGTAACGGTAATGCATGATGCCATTTGACCCAACCTTACAGCCACTGGCCACGGCTTTTTAACCGTGTTGTCTGCCCAGCCAGCTCTGCTAGCCGTCCCAGCCATGGTCACCTCATCGCAACGTTCAAATGAACATGCGTGTTTACATCCTCAGGTTATTTGGTGCCGTGTGCTGTCGCAGTAATCACGTGACTTGCCCGTCCGCCGGGAGGATCGTGATGGCAGAGCCCATGCCAAGATCCCCATTGCCTGCGTCGCCATGGGGTGTTTTGTCAAAATTGCAGACGTCCGAAAATTTCAGAGATTGAATGATGCATGTCACTGGTGCTTGTACTGATGTGCTTCCAATGCATGTTGAATCATTGCCAAGTTCGCAGTTTAACGCCCGCTAGAGGCCGAAATAGGCCGGCCCTGGTCATGACCATGTCAACTGCGGTCCCCTGTACACGCTGTTTCATATAAGAATGTTCGACTGCCTCAGCATTCATCCATCCATGCCGCAAATCGCTGTTCGTACCGTGAGTACGTAGAAGAGGAGAGCCGTCAATATGACACTGGACGGCTGCACCCAGCGAAAGTATGTACTGGCCACGGCCATCTTGTGCACTCTCGACCTGAAACGGGGAGTTGCCTAGATCTCAATGATGCCCTGTGGACTAGTCGGCCATAGTGAGGACATGGAACGAGTCATCGTCACGGGCTATGCGCTTGGGTGAAGAGGAGGCATTTCTGTCCGTTTTAATGGCTTAAGCTGTTACTTGTGGTCAAATCGGCTGATGAATTCAGCATCATGTTACGCAAGCTTCTTTAGGCAGTTGTATTTAACATACGTAAAATTTTGAGATCCTATGGTTGAGTAAAATCGCATTATAACCTTGCCAACTGCAAAGTGCAAGCTGTTTTGGTACAAAAGCCATTCAAATCGTAGCATTTTCAAAAAGTTAAAAAGCAGAATGCTTTGTTCCGGAGCCGTCCATTGAGCGTTGCGTGAAACTTGGTGTGAAACTAACGGCGTTCACCTTTGTGAGCGTTCAGTAAGTTTGCTGACTTGAACGGGCTGTAGAATAAAATTAGGCCCCTTTTATGACGAGTGATGAACTGCAACAACTTTTGACATATTTTGCGTACAGTAACGAGTAACCGAACTACATTTGCAACCGCAATAAAGAACAATACAACTTGTTTTTAGTAACGGTGTTCACCTTTGGTTACTTGTCATCTACCAGGTAACCATATCAAGGCAAGGTGAAGCTTGGAGAGCCAATTTTATTTTTCTCTTTGTTTTATGCTGGAAAAGAATTAATTGCCACAGTTTGGCCATTTGGTTGAGTAACAACGCGAGTTGAGGTAATTTACCATGCGCAGTGTTGAGTTTTGCTTGAGACTAAGTGAACTATGTGTAATCATTTATTAATCAAATATTTGCCTAACGCATGACACAGTGAGCCATCACCCAAGTACAGCAGCCCCGTTTGAATACGAAACTGAGTTTCAGATCTTCAAAGCAGTAGAAATTGGTGCCTTAATTGCGACCCCTATCAATCAACTCGTACAGTTGCTATTTTGAAGACGGAAATTGCAATCAATCTAGACTGAACTTCTAAACATTGGCTGTGAATCAGCGATTATCAACTGAAAATAATCCAGTCATCACAGAATCATTGCATGTGCAATACATCAATGACGGATGGATTTACCCTGCGAAATCATGCTGCGAATAAGAAATGAATCATCGAGCCATGATGTGAATCAACAATGCACTTTTCTTAAACACGATATCATACTTTGCATCAGCAAAATCTGGATCGTTAACAAAGGTCGTGAATCGATGGTGAATGGATCCGGAAAAAGTTGATCCAAACACAGCGGTGGCAAGCCACTTGTTGGGCGCGCCTGCCTTTGACCACATGGTATATATGTGATATTCCTAACGCATCACATGATAAATCGAACAAACACGTTGACCTCACTAAAACAACATTCAATATTTGCAGCACATATCATTCAGATATTGAAATGGCGCATGAGCTCAGCAAGAATACGATGGGCCTAAACAGATACAAATCATATGGAATAAGCACGAATATCGTGAACAAAAATTTCGTTCCTAGGATTTGACCAGCCATCAGTAAGTGATCTAGCTGGATCTTAACAATCATCGAGAGCAGAGAATCCTTGGATAAATGGAAAACACTGGCGACACGGTTATGCACGGTGATGCCGAGAATAGGCGAGTGTGTAGTTGATGCGTAAGCTAAAGAGCAGGGTAGTTTTGACTCACTGGTTCAGAAGGTCTCGTTGGCAGGCGGTCCGCCGTTTACGTGTGATTGCCTCGCTCCGCTGATAAGGTAGCTCTGTTGTACAGCGCTTACCAACGCGACATCTCTCCGCCTGTTCCGAGGTCAATATAGATGTCGCTTCCGTCGGTGTTCCCTATCGCCCCCTGCAAACGATGAGTACAATCTTGAGATCACTACTTTCATGCAATCCAGCACAAAAATGTTCAATCCGCCTCAAAACAGGGTCACATTGCTTTTTTCTTTGACATTCCTGACGACTTGGCCTCTTTCCCTGCGTTGACGTGGCTGCGCTACGTGACGACTGATCGCTTGAAAAGGAGGGATGAACGGACCTGACTGAACTGTTTCGCCGTAAATTGTTAACGACTTTCTGGTGTTGTGCTGCACGCTATACATGGGAAGTACAGCTCAGAAATTTTTCAACTAACCGTCTCAAAAGTTAGGTGAAAAAGTGAGGAACAGTATGAACGAAGCTGCTTCGTTGACAAGAGGATGGGAATGTGCTAACTGGTCGTTAAATGGTCCTTCTACGATAATCTGGAACTTGTTACAGCGCTTCGACTACCAAGTCCATTTCAAATGGTCTTTCCAGGTGGCGAGTGAGCCATGAGGATGTTTCACCCGACTGACGCCTGAGAATCCGAGCGATGCAGTAGCGAGGCACTACGCGGGGTGGAAATATTTTCATCATGTCCGGGAAGCTTTTGGATATTTAGATCTTCACTCCTGTGTTCCATCCCGCATGTCATAATCTTGCACTGCTCAGTATGCACGTTTGGAAATGTGGCTGAATCGCGGAGACGGCGAAGATAAACATCTAGCTTAGACAACTATAACCAAAACTCCATGAAAATCCGAGAACATCCAAATTGACCTCAATGACAAAAATCGCGCCGCAGGCCAAGAAACAGAAGATGTAAATTGTGGGCAGTGCTGGGAGCTGCGCTTGCATGTATATCAAAGCTTATGTTGTACACCTGAATCATGCGCTTTACCGTTCATCAGACGAGAGACAGACTACGCTGCGTGCTCTGTGACCAACATGGAAATCATCGTGATGGTCACAGAACTCCGCCAAGCACCGGTGCCAAGCTGTGAAAAGGCGCCTTGGCGGCCAGCACCAGCGAGCATGTAGCATAGGTCCTGCGACAGTGCATGCAGCATAATCAAAATGCCTCTCACACACCTTCCGTCCCGAAGCTAAACACGCTCCCTAGGCTAACCCGACAGATTTCTGCCCCGCATGCAAAACGTTCAGCCGCTGCACTCAACCGGCGGATGTGGCGTCCGGGCCACCTTTCCGTGCCACGTCACCAGCGCACGCCCCGTGTCCGCCGCCGCGCGCGCCACTCCCGCCGGCCGGTTTCCGCCGCCGCCGGCCGGACCGTGCGTCACGTGGCGTTAACGGCCCGGCGCTACCCGCCATATCTCAAGGTCAGACGGCGGGGACTGCGCTCGGCCACCGGCCGGCGAGGCAGGTCTGGGCGGGAGCCGCGGGGAACGGCACCCCGCGCGCTAGACCGAGACACCACCGGGCCAGGCCGGTCCGACGCTCAGGGACGGACGGATCCAGAGAAGGGGAGGCTTTAGGGGCGCGTACCCACCCGCGTTCTCTGGGCGCCCCACGACCAAAAAACACGACGCGAAGGAATCCAGAGATACGCTAGGAAACGGTGCCGCTGCGCTAGACACCGGACATCGTGACAGAAAGTAGGCGCCAGCTACCCGTACTATGGCCGCCATTCTGTTATAAATTCACATAAATTCAGTCCGAGCGATTTGCACAGGTGGGTTTAGATTCAGAAGACTTAGCAAGACATGCCAGGTGTTCCTTAATTCAGGGACCCAATCTGCGCTGTCCAGATCAACAGGTAATATTGTCGCCTCTCTGTCGCCAGATATGACTGAGAGGATGTCTACATGTGCGCGCAACTCCGCCGCACAGCCGCCAAGGGTCTCGGTCGACCTTCCTGTCCACTGCACCAGCTGTCAACTGGCCTTTTCGCAAGGGTGGTTGTTCGCCAACAGCTCGTGAGTAATTCACAAACCACCGCAACTGCGAAATGACAGCGCCACCTGTGAATTGATGCGACCATTTGTGAACTGACACCACCACCCACGAATTGACACCGCCGCCTGATAATTGACACCACCACCTGGGAATTGAGACAGCCAGCTGCGAATGGACACCACCTGCGAATAACTTGCGGAGCAAGACATACCAATTCCCATTACTGGCAACAGCGTCCTGAATGACGGATTCAGATCAGTGACTTTGAACGATACGTCCTCTGTTTTTGCACCATAAGTTTGGCTATTCAATCGTCTAGGCAGCTACACGAACTGGGGCGTCGCCACGCTGCACCATTCTGAAGTTGTTTTTTTTTGGAAAAGCTAGGCGGGGTCAAATTGACCCTCCCCCCCCCCCCCCGAGCGTATGTTCAGACTCAGGTTTCACAATCGCCAGCTGAGTAATCCACAAAAGAATCAGGCAGACCAGCACAGGAAGCTTGAGACATTTCCCAGGGCTACGCATTTTGTCTTTGAGTGCTGCGCCCCACACTTCAATGTCATTTAACGCGCATTGGTGAAAGTGGCAACGATGGAAAGATCGCTTATTGTATCCAGATTGATACATTTGGCGCAGCAAACTCGGGTCGTCCAGCCCTTCTACGGTTTTCAACTTTAAATAATTAGTAGCATTTCTGGACTTTATGACTTTTCTTTTTTCTTACAGTAGTGACATGCATCGTTTGCTAGTCCTTCAATGGGTTGGAAATGAGAGCGCATATAGCACGGTCATAGATGCCATGATATCGTGCGACGAGCCGAGCGAGTCCATTTTCTAGACAAGCAAACTGCTCAGTCTTAATTAGGCTGTATATCGCTATAGTGCCTTTTAATAGAAACTCACGTTATCCAAGTACAGGCTTTATGTGTTAGTCGATCATTCACTGGCCGAAGCATTTATAATTGGTGCATGATGTTATGGTCTTTGGCTGTGGATCTTGCTCAAATATTCTTCTGCATTTTGGGGTCTCGGTTCCCTTTACTCTTGGATCCGGGCAGACACACGTTTGCCACGGTAGAATTAGGTGCCCGGCTTCAAACTACCCATGTTCATCCCATTCCATTGTGTTTGCAAGCTTACCCACAGTCCACATATCAGACACGGGAATAGGAACGTCTTGCAGCTTGAGCAAAATTGCAATACTGAACTTAAGCAGAAAGAAATTGCCTGATTTAGAACTTGCCTCAGTTCTGACATTGACGTGCAGACATCCTACCATGTTCCGATGATGATAATTATATGAAATAAAGCAGTGTGAACTCATTAGTCCGTTGTCACCTGCCTTTACTGCAGCTCTGTATACATTTAAACGACTGAATTTTGGTGTACAAATACACCGTGCATTTATCAAAAATGGTGACGCGTAAGTTTAAATCCCATGCCAATGGAACGGTTTGATGACGTCACGTTCGGGGTTAGTTCCGGTGACGCATATCAATAAGTAGGGCAACAGCAGCTGTCCTGACTTGAGTCGGATGACATTGTATGAATGAGGGTTCCGGTAATCTGCATGGCGTTGAAAGTTAGGGCGATGAGAGAAGCTTTCGGTAATACCCCAATTCAAGCCAGAACTCGATGACGCCACGGGGCATGGACTTCATTGCCATTTTATGTCGCATGGTGTCGCGTTACGCTGCTGGTGAAAGTTTTGCCGGTAGGAATTCGGTCGGCGATAAAAAAAACGCGCGATTTTGCTCATCGCAGCAGGCAGTCAAGAGGTTTTAAGACAGGAAAGTCTAAACCTTCATCCTGATAGGGCGGTGCATCCACCCCTAAGGTTTTTTGAGAATACCTCTCCGGAATTTTACGCAATAGCACCCAAACTTTCAATAGTCTAAGGGGCATTACTGCACGAGTTTTGACACAAAAATGTATTCCTCGCTTTTCTGGCGCAGCGGCTCTTTTTTAGGAACACTGCGCGGCGATCCACTTCCTGAGCGGGCGGGCGGGCGGCAACCGACGGTGTCGCGGAACGCACTGCACATTTGTATGAGGTTCCAAACTTAAACAGCCATTTTGAACATCATTCAGTGGAGTTCACTGTTCCACCCTTCTTATGGTTTAAACCCTCTTAGTTTCTGAACTTCACGCCCTCGAAAATGTGCAGACTTTTTCGGGGAGTCTATTTCAAGTCCATCCAGGCATTCACGACGCTATAATATCATAATTCAAATCCCACCATTTCATGGGCTATGCAGCGATCAAAGACAAAACAAAAGATGATTGTCGTGTCGTTCATACCTGGCGCTCGTGAGCACGATTTATATATATATATATATATATATATATATATATATATATATATAACGGGTCCTTAATTGGCTCTCAATCAATGTCATGTAATGAACGATGAAGCAATCAAACAGTGACGCATTGATGGGCGTGTTCACTAAAGAAAAAAACGGTGTTGTCTAGAGCAGCTTTTTCCACTTGAAGGAATGCCAACAGTTACAAGTGAGCTTATCTCATCACACTTGATGCTTGCTTCGCTATTTGCAAATGTAGAGCATTCCCTTTAACGGAGCCATATATCATAAATGTATGTTTAACTGTTGCCATTTTGTGTCGCCACAAGGCATAGTTTTGTAAGTATGATGCTGTCAAACTGAACAAGTACGATTCTCTGGAAAACCTATCCTGAAAACCTGACCGGTCGCAATGGGTCAATTATTGATGTAGCAACTTAAAACCAGTACCTATCGCGATATCTCGTTGAGACCAATGCACTGGTGTTTTCAGCGCTAAGTTATGTCTTCATTAGTTTGGAAACGCTGCGGGATCGCACCAACCTCCATATCAGTCCGCGCCATGGAAAACGGCGAATCAGGGCGAGCGTTAATAATTTGACACCTGGCATGATGTTGCCAACTGTTCCCGGATGTGTGCAGGCATTCAATGGGTGTCGCATCCTACCATCACTGGGTCCTCTTTTTTCAGCCCGCCCGCGCGCACTAAAAACTCCTGGCAGGAAGCCAGCCTTCGAGCCTTCACGACCAAAACCCGTTCACATTCCGTAGACCGTGTCCCAAGTTATCAGGTAGACGATCCGATATGCGTTACCTGCTAGTCTCTACCTATGCCCACGGAAATTCTCTCCACATTTTCAGGGACGGTCACGAGCAACACAGGCACTCACGGCAGGGTGCGGTGCACCGAAGCGGCGCTTGTCGCCAATCCCGGTTTTTTCGTCAGGTGCCGGATATGCACGTGCCTGGTTCCCACCGTTGGCTCCTGGTTCCCCCTTCCCCTTTCCGAGATCGAGATTTTGAATCCTTTGCTCTAGCTGGCTATTTCATGAACATCACCTTTCCTAGATGCTATTGGTGGTTTTGCCAACACAATATCTTGGTTCCTGGTCCTCACTGGTCCTTTGCAAATGCAAATTTGGATTCCTGGTTACCACAGGTTCCTTTACAAACACCAAGGGCATAGTTTTGACGTTAATTGTTGAACCGTCGACTTTTTCTGTTCGTCTTTTTTCAATTTCAAATTGTTTCCAATCGACCTTTGTCCGGACATCATTGTGGTATGAGGGGCATGTATCACACTCCAGCCATGTCATTCTAGCGGGAATAACAAAGTCGTGCACTAAACTTTTTTGTCAACCTCATATGAAGGAACTTATAATGATAATGCGACGAGCTGAGAGGAAGGGTATTCTTTAAATACGCTTCCGAAGTTAGACTTATGCCAGACGCATAGCCGTTCACAATCATGTTTGTATATTCTCGTTATTCGGGTTTCTGACCATGGAAAATGATGTTGTCTTTAAAAACTGAATTAATTCGTACCCCAAGAATGCCAAACTTGTACTGCCAGGCTGGCGAAAGTGGTTTATAGTCGGCGGGTGTTAACGTTCCCCCGCTTCGGTAAGTTCTGCCGTCTGTCCAATATCGACTAGTGTGTTATTGCGAGTGCACTTTTAGCTCGAATAATAGGCTACAAAATTTGAGTGCTTGCCGTCAGACTGCATGAACAGGAACTTGCAAGGAAAAGGTGTGTGTGTAGGGGGGGGGGAGGGGAAGGGTAGACAGAGTGTAGTTTGAAATCTATGCGTCGGTTTTTATTACTTACAACTTCTCAGTGGCTGCCAATAGGCATATTTCTCCGCATGGACATAAGATAAGGGAACATGACTCGATATCCGGTGCAAAACGAGTGAGTGATGACATCTATCAGTGATCGCTCTTACATTGAAACATATTACTGAGTGTTTACGAACGTATGAAGAAACGCTCGCGCGGCAA